CCTCCATTGAAGCAGGCCAAGTCTGGTGATAGCCTTAATTCGCATCAACCTACGGCAACACCGATGGCACAACGGCCTAGTATATCCTCTTGGGGTGCTGGATTGTCATCGTTATTCTCCAGTCGGGGATCCAGAAATTCTGTCCCCCATGCCAAGCCCGATGCGGGCGAGCCATCAGCTCAGCCGAAGACGTCTCCGCCGTCTTCGAGATCACCTAGTATTGCAACGCATTCTCCGACCATGACAACCAGAAAGTCCGGAGATAAGGTCAACATTCAGCAAGAGGAGCATCAACAAGAGGAGCATCAACAAGAGGAACATCAGCAAGAGGAGGCGACTGGTTTGGCGCTGTGATTTGAATCAGCCCTAACCTCGTTCGTGATGGTCTTAACGACATTTCGTACTTCATGTGCTGGCCGGATGGAGTTCGTGCAGCTTGAAAGCATTAACATTCTTTTAATCATACATCAAATAGCATCATTTGCAAAGAGGATTCATCATAACATGTGTATATATCGTATTGTAATGAATCCAGGACAGTATTTGCATTTGTTTCTCGATTATGTCCAAAGCAAACGCGATCAGTAACGAGTCTCGTATGCCCTCCGCATTGAAAAAACACGCGCCGACAAAGTCGAAGTCCCACACACAGAAGAATAAAAAGGATGTCAAGAAGGTCACCATAGCAGAACCTCCTAAAAAACAACTGAACGGAAAAAAACATAAAGAGCTGGAGGATGACGGCAATGAGGACGAGAGAGATGCTGACGAGAGTGGAAGCGAAGAGGATGTTGAGGTTGATGACGATGAGGGAATAGATGAAGCAGGTTTGGAGCGACTTACGAAGGCTCTCGGTGAAGACGGCCTCGATGATTTTGACAGAGCACAGCTTGTCTCTCTGCGCGGAGCGTTGAGTGAAGAGGAGGAAAGTCATGAGGCCGAGAGTGGTAGCGAGGAAGAGGAGTCGGTCGATGAGGTCGAGGCTGAGTCTGGAAATGAGAGTGCAGAAGAGCAAGAAGAAGCAGGCGAGGCAGAGGAACAAGAGCAAAATGCTGAAGAAAGTGATGGTGAAGACGAGGACGAGGATGACGATGACGATGACGATGAAGGCATTGCACTAGACGATGTGGAGTCCGTCGACGAGGATGCAGTTCCACGACAAAAAATCGAGATCAATAATACGGTATTATTAACAACTTTTCGCCGTAAAGATGCTTTCCTTACCAAATGCCCACACAGGTCGCATTGGAGCGGATACGCGAGACAATAAAACTGGATGCTGCCTTGCCTTGGACGGAAACACTGGCTATGACTTACCCCAAAAGCATTGAAGTGGATGTGAACGACGACTTGCAACGAGAGCTGGCATTGTTAGTCGTTCTTTAAATCTTTATCTGCCTGGATGACTGATCTCAGCGTACAGCTACAAGCAAGCTCTACACAGCGCGAATGCTGCGCGTGCCGAAGCTGCCAAACACAACTTCCCGTTCACTAGGCCTGCGGACTACTTTGCAGAGATGATAAAGTCAGATGCTCATATGGAGAGAATACGACAGCGGCTATTAGACGAGGGTGCTGGCATTAAGAGAAGTGAAGAAAAACGGAAAGAAAGGGAGGGCAAGAAATTTGGGAAACAAGTCCAGCTCGAGAAGCTAAAGGAGAGGGAAAAGTCGAAGAAAGACATGGATGAGAGGCTAAAAGTTCTCAAGCGGAGTACGTGCTATTCAAGCATGAGCGTTGCCTCGACTTGCTAATGTTGTGACTAAGAACGCAAAGACATGCTGGACAAGCCCAAGGGCGGTGACGACTTCGACGTGGAGGTTGAAGATGCTATCGCTGATCGACCTGCAAAACGCGCCAAAGGCCAAGGTGGACCCAAAGCCAATCGAACGACGCGTAACAAAAAGTTTGGCTTTGGTGGCCCTAAGAAACATTCAAAGCAAAACACAAAAGCATCCACGGATAATTTTGGTCCTGGTGCTGGCAAAGGTAAAGGGCGTCCCAAGGCAGGGATGAACAAACGTCCCGGAAAGTCCAAAAGAATGGCCGCACGCAGTAAACGATGAACGGCTCATGGCAGCTCTTCGACATGTTCGCCGAACTGCGTTTAGATACGTCGTTGATATCCCGCATCCATCGCCTCAAAAGTATATCATACTATTTGTATTTCAGCGCTTTGCTTACAATCGTGATGCGATTGTCGGTGTTGTTTAGCAGTATTACCCGCCATAGGCTTTTGCGAGGAGTTGAAACTGTTTGTATGACCTTCAGGTGACGAAGAAACGCAGTTATGAGCATGTACACGAGTTGTATATCCGTTTAGACAGCAAAGTACTATTCCAAAACCAATTGTACGCTGTACCCTGTGATTCAGTCAGTCGTTGCATTGGTAAACTGAGTGGTCGCAATTCCGACGCGATTGTTGGTGGTATCATATACACTGTAGAAGCGCTGCAAGAAGGCGAAGCCATCTGTAAGAGTTTTAGTTGAATATGATCTAGAGGGGTATCCATCTGCCACGAACTAATAAAGTCAAGTCCCGAGCCACTATTATTTCCCAAGTCTCCAACGACGAGGTATATCTTGTTGGGATCTCCACCAAGGACCTTATTCTGAACGCGGGGCCAAACTTGGGCATTAGGGGTAAGTTCGAAAGTTGTCTTATTGGTAGGTCAGCCCTGATACAAAGCCTTGGAGATAGATCGACATACATTACCAATCTTGAAGTGCAAGTTTTCCAACTTGTCGTACTGTTGCTGTGTGATAGTCAATAGTCCGGTAGTGCTATAAGTGAAACACGAAGTCAAGTATCGCAATTTGGAGGCATTAGATATATCTACCTATCCAATACACCACCAGTTGCCTTTTGGTATGCCTTGAAAGCATCTGTGGCTAGCAACAACTGCGTCGTGCCCGTGTCGACGATGCCAGCTGTCTGAGAAAGAATGGGTGTTCCGCTTCCATATGTAATGCTTTGGTCAATTCCCCAGTACTTGTTTGCCGGAGAGGACTTCGTGATTGGAACATATTCGATTTGCCCAGTGTACCTGGAGAATCGTAAGCATATATCTAATAATTTGCTAAGATTAGTCCAACTTGGTATCGTCCACGTCACCAAATGACAATTCTCCGTTGGGGGTGTCGTCGGCCGTGGTGGTCGGGGCAAATGATATCGCAATTGATTCAGTGGGTATGATCCCTAGCTTGTAAAGGTTATCCGCTACTGTAGGAACACTGGGTTCTCCGGATATGGTGTCTATGAAAGCGTTAACACGATGCTGTCACACATGGTCCCAAAAGTCTTTACCTGCTGTTAAGTCCACAGGGCCAATCCTGTACGCCGAGTCAGCCTTCACAAGTGAGTAAAACCGAAGCGTCCTTACCCCAAAATACCATCAACTCCGTCGTCTAATCCCTGAGCAGAGGATGCCACTCCAATAGATTGTTCCGTAATAATAAAATCCGGTCCTAACGAAACGAGATCGATATCTGGGGAGGATTAACAACGCGATTCAGGATGACTTTGACAAGTTCCTACATTCAGCACCAGAGAATTGGCCTGAACCATAGCTGGTGTGCTGAATGAAAGAGAATGATGCAAGTCTCATGTACACTAAACTCGCACGTACCACGATTTTCCCGGTGGGCTTACACGTTGATGTTTGGTGATATGTCTGCGACGCGCCGACCCAGCTGGTGAGAGTCAATCAATTATTCTGACGCATTGTGGCGATAGTTTCATACGTGTTTGAGCTCCCTAAAAACGCACTTAGCTGAGTACAGAAAATGGATGGTCGATCTTACCGGTATCAATAAGAAGATTGAAAATTTGAGCCGGTTTTCCGATGGCAACAGGGATGGTGTAATTTACGCCTGTAATAATTTTAGAGCTGGGTAAGCATGAAACGAAATATCACCTGCCTGCATCAGTTACATTAATACGGTGCTCGGGTCGGATTGGTGTAGGCGGGGATTCATTTCTTGCTTGGAAAGCGGCAGGACCATGCGGGTGCAACCCAGACAAGAGCTTCTGAGCACGAGTATTATCACGAGACAGCGCCTCCAATGCTCCCCCGGCAACGCGAGACTTAAACGGGACGGCTGAGTTAGACATGCTAGAAGGTTTCGATGCGAAGTATCTGAGGAGAGGGGATGACTGCAGCAGCCGGCAGAACCGTTTTATGGGTTGTATGGCCATTGGATCCCAGGAGGCAGTGCTACTACGACACAGCACCATTTCATTTTATCATTCCGTCAAGACCCTGTCAAAAGCTCGACAAGGGAATCTTCACCGTTTTCGATTGATTCTTGCCAAGTGCCAAGACTCCTGTAGAATGGCCATCACATCAGTACGCCACATTAGTTATCTAAATGAGAGTCCAAACGTACGGCGCCGGAGGACAGATTACGTAGATCTTCTTGTTACGATCGCTCACGGCCGCGGGAAACATGAATATGGAATCTGGATAACACAGGTTCAAGACCATTTATCGCGCCGAATGATCGTAGTAATTCGAATGGCAGGCACAGCCTAGCTTTTAGCAGATACGCCGGGCTGCGAATGGAAAGCAGACACTGTTATGGCAGTTCGGAACGGAAGAAGCAACTTGCCTATTAGGTTGATTTGCGCTGACCTCGAGCGCCAGAATTATGGTACTTCCAAGTATATAGTTCGTGCTTGTGAACAATCCAGAGTAGTAAGGATTGTTTAGGTGGGCGTCAGGCTTCAGCCGCCGTCTGACGCCCGCTTCTGGGACCTCTTGCGAACATCATTCTAGACGTGCAGCCCTATCCCAGGAAAGGGTGATTTGAGATAAGTCATAGTGAGCAAAGGATTGAACAACTTCTGGGCACTAGCCGCGCTAACGGCAATGGCACGCTGGTCATGTTCAGAATCATTACACGTTTTGATGGCATATCATTTTGATAAGTATCGTCTGGGCGGCATGATAAAAGCGTATCGAATGTTGAAGTTCCGTTGAGTGGATTGGAAAAAAGAGAGGTGCTACCAGGGTTCGAACCTGGGTTTCGGGAATATGCTGATATCAAAATCCCGAGTGATGACCACTACACTATAGCACCACAGGAAAACGTAAGTTTTCATGACATCAAATACATTATAGCAGGAAGGTCGGTCAAGGGCGAAAAAGATTAGGTGCTACCAGGGTTCGAACCTGGGTTTCGGGAATATAAAGACATCAAAATCCCGAGTGATGACCACTACACTATAGCACCTGCAACACCGTGGCGCTTACGTCTCTATACAACTCGTATACTATTACGGTGTTCCCTTTATCACCATCATTGGAATGCCATCGAACGTGCGTATCACCGAGTATGCACCACCAGTCCTTCGAGCACCTTCTCCTGCAAGTTCTGTGGGTACTGTATATGGCGAAGATCAAACATCTTTCTCGGACCTGGAGTTGAGCGACGACGCTCTGGCTAAAAAATACGAGGATTGGCTCGAGCTACGAAAGCCAAGGAAAGAGGAAGAAAAAGCGAATGGACCCGTTCTGTTGGAACGTCCGGAGAAAGGATCGAAGGAAGAAAAAGGTATATAACTACTGGGCTAATTCTAGATCAGACTGATTTCCGCCACGCATAGATATGTACGAGAACGCGATGCTGGACCTGCGCAGAAAAGTACGCGAGGTAGAAGAGAACGAGTTGCTTGACCAGACGCTACTGCGTGGCTCGCGAGCTGGTCTCGTTCAACCGCCATCCACGAACGACGTTGACCAGCTCCTGCGGAGTATGATGGGAACCAATGTTCAGGCTACAAGCACATTTGCACGTCCGACTTCGGGCGGTCAACGATCAGAGATTGTAGCTCCAGGACCGTGGCTGAAAAAGGAGGTGATTATCCCACCTTTTGCCCCAACGGACGAGGATTCGGAGGCCGATGCGGAATTCGTGTTCGCGGCGCTCGGGAATCGGTAATGAGGTCATGGTTGCAAAGCTGGGACCGTGATCCACTTATGTAGACAAGAAATGTACACAGAAATGCGCGACAAACCTTGCTGTATAGTACACCTTTGGTAACATCGAAATAATATACAAACCATAAAACTACAATTGAGTTGAATTGAACAAGTTACAGAGGGTCCGAAAAAAAGTCCGGGAGAGCATCTTCAATCTTCTTGATAGTCTCTAAAAGACATTTCTTGGCCTGATGCCTGCACTCATGGTGCATATAGGTTGTGTTGCTAAATTTCTCATACTCCTTTTGAATATACTTGAGTTTTCCCAAAACATCCGCTGCGCCTAGACACAGAACGCCCTCACTTCGAGATTTCTCTCTCCAGAAATCTGCCCAGCTTAGGGTACATCCGTGCTGATGCCAGGTTACACCGCACGCTTGAGCATGCTCGAACTCGGGAGGTACCGCCCTTATCCGCTCCCATGTTCTTGCCAGGCGGTAATAGCCAGTCAAAAGGCGCGTTCGCTGAGGAAGTGTTAAAACAGGAATATCCTCGCCTGGAGGGTCCTTATCAACAATCGGTTGAGGCGCAGTTGCAAACTCCGGCATGCACCACTTGTCGATAGAACAGTTCTGCAAGACCTCCAAATAACTGACTCCACGAAGACTTGGAATATCCAACTCGTCGGCAATAGCCATGGCCATATATGCATGATGAATGGAGCTTTTTGTGAGCTGCGTTAGGATGCTGACCAAGGTATCTAGGAGACGCTGATGGTGGCAAAGTTGGGTTAGTCGTAGAACACGGGTGAGCTGGTCAAGGGTCATGTTGAGAGGTGCAGGGTTCGTGGGGGTCGGTTGGGACACGGGGATACCGTCAGACGGAGAAGAGATGGTATGTTGCGTGACACGTCTGTAAATAGCGTCCAGGGCCCATGTCTCCGTCGACTTGAAGGAGTACTTGTTGGCAACCTGGGCAATGTCGATTAGTTTGACCAAGTCGCCACCTTCTGACGTGATAATTGCGATTTCTGCGGGTCTATTTACCGTATCAGGTTTAGCGTAAGGAATGGTATAGACAAATGGGGTACTTGCAATGCGTATAGGGACCAAAGGAAATGCTTGAACTCCGAGACAGTATCCCCAGACAAGACAACCGGATTATCATCGGAGGATCCTTCATCGGGCTTCCCTCCCTGAGGAAGAGAAAACATGGTGCTAAAGCTCGACGCATCCTTGCTCAGGATGGACCGGTGGAGCTACGAGATAAACTGTGGTTATTAAGACGTTCTTCTACAATAACGCACTGACATTGAAGAGGGTTCCCTCGACTCGAATGACGCAGCTACCATCGTTGAAGTAGAATGTATCGTCTCTTGTACTTGTCTCTTGCATACCAAGTGCGCCAGGGTGACTTGAAGTTGTTGCCAGGTCACTCGATCGTGTGTCACTCGCATTGCGTAATTCCTTTTGACACCTACTAGAGCACCATGCTGATGACGTTTAGCCATACTTCACTTCACTCCTACTCCCACCATGCCGTTCGGCACTAAAATTCTCAATGATGGAAACCAGGTATAATGACGGCGTTTGTGCTACATCGTCGTGATAACCTCTTGCTCAGATTCCAGCAATTGCTTTCGGCACAGGCACATCGCTAAAGGGCAAAGATGTTTCTTCCTATGTAGAACAAGCGTTAGACTTGGGGTTTTCTCACATTGACACTGCCCAATGTGAGCATATCTGATAATAAAAATAAGGTGTATGCTAACGTCTACCGCAAGTTTACCGAACAGAAGAATCAGCGGGAAAGGGTATCAGAGAAAGCGGTCTTGACCGGTCAGAAGTTTATGTTACGTCAAAGTACTCTTCTGGCGACATACAAGAAACAGTTTCGGAAGAGTCTCTCCAATGCCAGTTGTATCTACCCGTCTCCTTCGTCATTCTGACGTGCTATATGCAGCTTGGTCTTACGTATCTGGACTTGTACCTTGATCCACTTTCCTGGGGCGGTCAAAGATTTTGAGAGTGCTTGGAAAGAGTTTGAGAAGATTAAGAAAGACGGTCTCGCCAAGTACGTGCTCGCTTCTTATCCTTATCCTCTCGCTCACTCATTTACCCAGGAGCATTGGAGTCAGCAACTTCAATCTGGAGCAGTTGCAATCCTTGATTACAACTGCTGAAATCAAACCTGCTGTTAACCAGGTAGATAGATTATCCAAATTGAAGCGCATATAACTGAGCTGTGTTGCATAGATTGAATTGCATCCCTATAATTACGCGGGGCACAAATCGCTCATACAGTATGCTATATTAAATAATATCGTCATTGAAGCATACAGCAGCCTCGCGTACGTACATGTTTCACTCAGGGTTTCCATCACTGACGCAAATCTTAGTCCTATAACTAAGTATCGCGGAGGTCCGGTGGATGTGCCAGTGAACGCAGCCGCCAAGAAGAGAGACGTAGAACCTTCTCAAATCCTATTAGCTTGGGTCAGGGCGAAGGGCGCAGTAATAGTCACGTAAGTAAATGCACGATGTGTCCGAGCTCTACTGAAATGACGCCGTAGGACGAGTACGAAGAAGGAACACCTTAAGCAGTATTTGGACTCGGCTGATATTGGTCTGTGTGATCGTTGCTCGCTTCCCTGAAGCTGTCTGATGTACTATAATTAAGTGTTGACGGATGATGAAATCACGGCGATAGATGA